TGTTCATATTATAGCTGCAGTACGAGAAACAACCTTGCAAATAGATATTTGTACATGTGTATAGAGAGTGTCCCCCTTGCGCTATAATGATATATGTGTGTAACTTGCTCTTAAGAGGGAACCTGTAATTCACAACTCGGGACTGTGGATTCACTATTTATTGGCCAGCTTTGATGAGTCAATCATTTTCTGTATGAGATTGTGGATCATGGGTCTCGTTGGGTTGGTTTAAGAAGATGGTTGAGGGCTACGACTACTGGGTCCAATGGAATGCCCTGACAGTCACTTTTCTTGACCCATTGGTACTAATCCAATTCAAGGAATTATGTTTTCAACCCAATAAATTTTTTTTGTATTTTTAGATTTTTTTTATAATTTCTAAAATGTTTAGTGAAAAACCCTTTATGAAATTGTTTGGAATTGTGGAGGGGCTAGGAGGAATACATGGGGGACCTTGGATCCAACCCCATATGTGCTCCACATCTACATGTTTTGGGTGTGGGGCCCATAGGCCCACACGTCAGACATAGAGCTGCCCGCCCCCACCCCACCCCACACACACGCAACAGAAACCCTTGAAAATAAAAGAAGTTTTAGTCTAGAGGGGAACCTTGTGGAAATCTTTGAAAAAAGATTGTGACCTTATTTTGAGGGGGAGAGAATATTTTATATTCGTTAAATACTTGATTTTGAAAAAGAAGTTCTAGTCAAAATTGAAGATACATTTTTTATTGGTCTTATCTTAGGTTGACTAGGAGTAGATGTGGGTCAAAGATTCATGGGATAAGATTTTTAGGTTCCTCCCCAAATCATGATGGCTGATTCTTGGGATGGATGACTCAAATTTGTTTTACATCTCACATATTACCTAAGGGTCATATGGCCAAGATGAAAGCTGAGTTAGAAAGGCCTACATAGACCCTCTTGAAAGCTATAAATAGAAGGTGGCCCTCTTCATTCTCACCTTTTGGATTACTAGTCTTTCTCTCCTTCTCTCTCCTCCACGCCATTCACTCTCCTCCACTCCATTCTCTCTCTCCTCTCTAGTCCAAAGAGGCGTGGCACGCACCACCCTAGGAAATTTGGGGTGGCATGCCAAACCACTGATACAAGAGAGGGGCACACGCTGTCCTAATTTGACCAAGGGAGGTGCTACTTGTGGCATGCCCTACAAAGGTCCAAAAGGGGTCTAAAGAAACCCTAATTTGTTTTATGATCTCAAATACTAGATCTGAAAAAGTATCGCCCAAAGAAGCTCTCCGACTTGGAGAATTTAGTAGGGCCAATGGGATCATTGCTTGATCATTGAGGCAATTGGGAGTAAGGTGTACCAAGTCTTAAGGCGGTGACCATAGGCAAAGTCAAGTAAGTCTTACCGGTTGTTCTAAGTTTATTTTTCAGTCATTATTGCTCAATTTTTTTCAACTTCGAGGAACATTATGTGTTAAAATTCATAGATAAAGCTTGTATTCAGCTCTTATATCGAGTCATATTCATTTGGCAGTAACATAAATATCGTAGGTTGTATTTAGGGTTTTTGTTTCTTGTTTACAGCATGGTTTAGTGGGCACTTGTACGTGGATTTCAGATATATTAATAAATGAAAAAGAGAACTTGTTTATTTTACTATCTAGAATTCCAGATAGCCGGTACTTTCATTTTGGCAACCAAAGGACGCCAATTTGGGCCAACTAAAAACAGTTGCATCTGTGGCTTTTTTTGGATCAAATCAATAAAAAAAAGGGGGTGGAAATTTTTTTTTGTAAAGTTCTTAGATTTTTGTATTGGTAAATGTTTGGTTGTTGACTTTTTGATTTTCGTATTGGTAAATGTTTGGTTGTTGATTTGTTTCTTTTGGGTGTTGATTTGAGGAAGTTTAGACAAAGTTTTGACAACAAATTTCAAGACTTGAGAATATTTAGATCTTAAGACTTGAGAGTTGAGAAATGATAATGATAATGATTACTCTTGAGCTTGACTTTTAAACTCTTTAATCTTCATAGACTTTTAATTTGTATTTTGTAACTTTAAAGTTTGTGGTAGCAAATTTGTGATTATGGTTGTTGAATGTTTATGAAGCTAGTTTCAAGTTTCTAGTTTCTATCAAGCGATAGTGGATACAGAATCTCTGACAGGCGACAACTGATACTTTTGGAGTTAGTGATTAAACTAAATACCTACTATCACATAAATCACCTTCATATTTTTTCTATGCATTAATCTATTTTTTTATGTTTTTTAATTTTTTTTAATATTTATTGATCGCATCGCGGCAATGCACCCGCTTTTGGAACACATCGAGCTGCATCGGCCCCCCCAATGCATCGGGCCGCATCCCGCATTTTGAAACATTGGTTTTTTGTCAGGTTATATTTATGTTGGGCAGGACAAGCTCAGATGGATTAATGATTGTCTTCTTCAACAATTGTTAGGACGTAGAGATGAGTGACCTCATAGAGGTCTATCTTGAATTTCATAAGATGGCATGGATCTATTAGGGGAGTGAGTTGAGATCTATAAATTATTAATGACAATGGAAGATGCATATGGTATCCTCGCGTTTTAGGTCCATCAGCTTTTTTGGAAGTTCGTACAAGCGCCTCGAAATTTTCTCAAGTAGGCTTGGGATGGTTATGGGTCATTTGGTCTGTCACCACACCTTGCTTTTATAAGGGGTGGGTAGATTTTGGGTAGTGCTGTAGGGGTGCACTAAGTTATACATTCATGTCCGAGGGCGGCAAGCTTTACCATATATGTAGGTTTCACATGGAGAACTCTTATCATTCTGGGAACTCAGATTCAATGGATGAGTTGCTTATTTTTGGGTTCCAGATGAAGCCATTGGATGAGTGTGTGTAATCCTACCTGCTTCTTTGTCCTACCAAATGCAGATAAGGGACTTTACAAATGAAAAACCTAAGATTTTGATAGGAAGGCACTATGAGAGGAGATCCATGGATGGTATTATCATACTTGAGGCTGCTCTAACTACCTTCATTTGTTTACTTTGTGTTCTGCAATCTAATATTTTTAACATGGCTTCTAGAAGTTCAAGCAAATCTGGAGGGATGTTTTTGGGACTAAAGTAGATAAGGGACTCAAATTCCATCTGGTTTAGAACAATAAAAAGTTACATAAACGCTTACTGGCAAGTGACATTGAGGATATGAGCTGGCTAGCAGATTTGGAGTATGATTGTTAGAGGCAAGTATAGGTCTAATGAGATCATGTGAGGGCTGCAGGCTTTGGATATAGGCCATCTAGAGTTTAAGAATAGGATTTGGACAATTGTAGGATAGGTGTTATGTATTAGATCCTCATGGCGGGTCACCCTCCCCATTGAGTGCTCTACCTTCCAAAACTTATGCTTTATGTGCAAGAATGATTGACCATCCATTGCAGGTTCTCAAGATCAGTTCGATATTCTTCGTGGACCTGTTTGAGCATGGAAAGGGTGATGCCTAACTTGATCATCTCCTTCAAGGACGTTCTTTGGGATTCCTTCCAATCCTCTAGATGGTGTTCCTGCTTGCAGATATTCTTGGGGGCTTGGTATGAGGGGAACTATAGATCTTTTATAGGCCGCAGAAGATGAATGAATTATTTCAAGGGAACACTAGAAATAGCTAGGTTTATGTATTAGGTCTGAGTACATGGTACTAGGATGATAGCAGTAGAGCTTAGCGAGATTTTGGATCCAAAGATGTGAAATGTAAGCTGCCTTTTGGGCTTAAGGCGTTCCTAGCCACACTATTTAGAAATTAGTACAAAGTGTGGGCATCGTGGACCTTTTATTAATTTTCTTGGGTTATCAGAAGAATTAAGAAATTTTTTAAACCCAGTGACAACCAAAGCCCTCGGGTTGTAGAGCACTGAGAGGTCTAGGCAACCACATAACTCCCATACTTTCCCTGCTTGGGTAAAAATGGGCAATGACTCCCACCCCAAGGTCTTGAAAAAATTACTCATAATTTGCAAGTTTTAGTTTTCTTGTGATGCATAACAAATCTATAAATGTAACGTATTGACTTTGCAAGAAAGAATGATGCGGGTGTGCATCTCCAACCCAATGTGGTCTTTATGGTTGTATGCTTTCTTTCTTATTAAGGGAACTCATTAGAAAAGGCAAAATGTGGGGTCGTGGGGCTTTCAAACATATTATCTGCTGTTTATAAGTCTCTGCTTCTGTGGAGTGCATGCCAATTAGCTACAGTCATGAGTACGAAATCGAAATTTGAAACCTGCAGAGGCTCACAGGGTATTTACCTAGACCACAGGAGATCTTGATGCAGATTAGTTTAGTTTAACTGGGTAGGTGACTTTGTACTTTATGTTTCCCATTCATTATAATGTTTGTTCTTCTGAATTTCCATCCATTTGGTCTTACTGTATGTATGTACGTATGTATGTCTCTTGCTGTGTGTGTGTTTTACATGTGCATGTGTGTGCGCGTGTGTTTGTGTTTTGCGTGCGCGTGTGTGTGCACGTTTGTGTGTGGAGGTAGTCTTAATTAATGATAGAAATATGGAGTGTGGGAGCCTTTTTTAGTAATTGAGGTGGCATCGTATGACAATGTGAACCTTTTGTTTATATGCTTGCACAATTATATAATTATGGAGTGTGGGAGCCTTTATTACTAATTTGGCATCATATGACAATATGAACCTTTTGTTTATGGGCTTTGCACAAATTGCAAATAGTGTTCTACCTTCTAATTTTTTGTTCTTGCCAGTCTCAGAGTGGCATCTCGTAAATAGCTTGTGGTCTATTATAAAGCAAACTGAGTGAAATTATCTCTGATCTGCCCATTATGCTTAGTCTTTCTTATAAGTGTTTTTTGCCTTCTAGTAAGTGGTTCCTTTTTTGTGAAATTTTTAGCACTCAAAGCATAGTTGTAATGACTGGTATGAATCAAGCATTAATTTGGAAATCATTGTTGAAAGTGACCATTATCGATAGATTTATGCAAACCATGTTAAGCTTTTCGGGCTTTTAACCAGATCAACGACTCCGCGGGCACGTTGGCTCTGGGACATTATCATGATGAAGATACCATGGTTGCTGTAATTATTGGAACAGGCACTAATGCTTGCTACATTGAGCGTGCAGATGCAATTATTAAGTGTCAAGGACTTATTTCAAACTCTGGAGGCATGGTATTTTCTTTTCACTTAAATCCCTGTGGATTCTATGCAAGCCAGATGCTAATGTGCATTTTTTGTTATTAGGTAATAAACATGGAATGGGGCAATTTCTGGTCATCTCATTTGCCAAGAACTCCTTATGATGTTGACTTAGATGCAGAAAGCCCTAACCCGTATGACCAGGTAATATTCCATTCTTGTGGCTAATTGCCCTTTGGTTTCAATTATTAATTGAATATTCTCGTTGAATTATCGATTAACCGGTTGCTCCCTCCCTCCCTCCCTCCCTCTATATCTATGTCTCCCTCACACACGGATATCTGATATTTTTGATATTTTCTGTGTCCTTCAGGGTTTTGAGAAAATGATTTCAGGCATGTATCTAGGTGACATTGTAAGGAGGGTGATCCTTAGGATGGCAAAGGAAGCTGATCTTTTTGGGGAGGTTGGCAAGAGTCTCTCAGAACCCTTTACTTTGAGGTATGTTCCCCACATTGCTAGCTGTATTTCTCTCCTCTCATTATATGCTGACTTTTATTATCATTATTAGTAATTGTTTTTGGGGTAAATGGTTGGTACGTTGCTTAAACAACGAAGTAGTTCTTGAAACATTTCAGTTTTGGGTATTATGAGCACCAGACTGAAATTTCAGCTCATTACCATCAAAAAGAGTGTCACCGATTTGATAGTTCACAACATCACTTCATAACCCATTGATAAAAAATATTCTTAATTTGATTTTTGTCTTTCTGATAACTCAAGTTCCTCATACGACTCCTATCTGAAATCGGAACCTATGTTTTTCTCTTCCATTGTGTCAAGTGTTTCATTATACCACATGCTAAAAATCCTGTTTTATTGGGGCCTTATGTTGGGCTGAGGAATGTTGACTTTCACTTTTTGTTATTATTTGGTACTCAGTTTTGGTAATTCGATCTCGTCTTTGTTGAAGTTCTGATTTGCATTTGTTTCCCAGAATCTTAAAGAAATTTGATTTTGTTACTTCCTACTTAGGGTTGTCAACTAGGCTGGGCCAGTCCTCCTGCTAGGCCTTGCTGTAGCCAGGTTTGGCCCACACTTAAGTATGTTGTACAATATACATAATATATATCGATTTATTTATAGTCACTTATATACATAATGGATAAATTTATAGCACCAAAAATAGGCCTGAGCCCTGCTTGGCCTGATCCAAAATTGGGGTGGGACCAGTCTTGGGCCGCTATGATATAAATAATGCAAGCTGGGCCCAAGTGACAAGTTGTGGTTTAGTTTTGGGCCTGGCAGGCCCCTTGCCTGATGAAAGGAATTCGGGTGGGTTGGGCCCAGGCCTGGTCTAGCCCGAGCCTGCTCATTGGCAGCTGTATCGCCCTTTCTCCATGACTTCTAGTCCATATATGAAGAAAGTTAACTGACTCCTGAGTTGATTTTCTAAATACATGGAGGCCATGTTTGCTACTGATTTTCTCTCTTGCTACTTTTCCCTCGCACAGCATCCCGTGGTTCAATCTTCTCACTAACACATGGAGGCCATGTTCATTTTTGTTGAGTTTTACTCAATGATTGAGAATGAAGGTTACAGGTTCCTTATACGGAGAACTTCATAAAAATCAAAGGATATTTAGTTCCCATTTGGGAATCTGAAAATGTGTCTTCGAGAGATGCATTTTCAGGAATGTCGTTTATTTCTGCCGTTTGGCACCCAAAATGGAAGCGATAAATGGAATTGCATGTTCACATTTTAGCCTAAAATTGAGAAATGAATATTCCTCTAAAAAGGGCTGAAATGGAACTCGTATTTCCCTATCAGACCCGCCAAAATATTTCATACCGATCCATTCTAGCTTCGGGTCCAAATAAATACTCTATTTCCTTCTCTTTTCTTGCCACAACCACACTATCACAGCCATTCTCTCCCTAGCCAACCAACAGAAGATAGCCTTTCTTGCCACTCCTCTCTCTCTCTCTCTCCCCTCCCTCTCCTGCAACTATTTCTCTTCCCCTTCTTCCATTTCTTCCTATAACTCCTATTACAATCTCAAAACCCTAGTTAGGGTTTTTCCAGAAACTTTGACTAAGAAAAAGGGATACAAGAAGGGGACAAGGGAGTTTTGAGATAGCGTATTTGCTATTAAATCTACTTCGAGATTATGGAATTCTCTTCTTCTTATACAAGAAGGGGTAAGGGAGTTTGAGATACCATCTCAAAACCTAGTTAGGGTTTCCCTCTTTTCTTTTGAAAACAGTTTAATGGAAATATGGGTTTTGATAGGCTTCACATTTTGAAGCTTTTTCTGGGGTTTTGCAAACATTTGGCCCCAATTTCATTTTCGACTTTAGGGTTGATTTTATACCAAATTACCTGAAATCTGGAATAACTTATGGGTTTTATTCTACAATTAAAAAGAATTGGGTTTTCTTCTTCACTTGAAGATAGTATCTGGGGTTTTTGTTTTTCTTCGAGTTGAGTTTGAACTTCTTCACCTGCAAAAATAAAAAAGGTTTTCTTCTTCACTCGAAAAGTTGGGTCTTATTCTACCATAACTATTTTTTTTTTCCCCTTCACCCAAAAATATTATTTGGGTTTTCTGAGGGCGTCTTCTGGGTTGTGATCTGTTCTGTTCAGAATGACAGTAGCCTCTTTTTAGTTTCTAACTAGCAAGTACAGTTCAGATTTGAGCAACACAACTATATTCCAAAATTGTCATTGTTGAAATGGTTATGTGGAATGCATGTTGTATGTGCACGAGTTAGAAACTGATTTTTTGGATAAACATCTAATTTTCTTTGTTGTGTATCATGCCATGCTTTTTTATGGTTAATGCAGAGAGGCAAACTTATCAAATGGCTTCTAGTGCTACTGTGCTGTTTATGGTTTTTGTATTGACTAATGATGATCATTGCAAAAGTTGAGCGAATGATGATTGATCATTTCGCTCATACCATTTATTTTATAATTTTTGCTTGTCTTGGCAAATTCTTTTGGGGTGAATATGGGTACTTGGATCTTCAAACAAGGTTTATGTTAGATTAATACATGGTGCCTACACAAGCATGAAGTGCAGGTTTAGAGAACAAATGTGTGAATGTAGGACATACTCATATTAGGTATATCTAGATAAGTTTGAACAAAATATAAAAAATAGAATTGCATTACTATTTTTATATTACAATGATTTAATTAAAAAGTTGGCAATAAAATTACCTACCCCAAATTTGTGGAGAAAAAACATGTAAAACCTATTACCACGTGTGAATAGTAGAATGCTATTTTGAGAAATGTATCTTTTAGACCAACCAAACAGTTAATATGTTCTTCCAGGTTGCATCCTGATGCCTATCCAAACAGCATTCATTCATCTTCTAGTATTTGAACATTTCCTAGAGATACATTTACCAGGATTTCTGAATTTCTAGGAAATTTATGTGCAGATTGATGAACAGGCCCTTAGGGAAACATATTAATTTGCTTAGGATATTTTAGATTGAAACAACCTGAAGAACCTGAAGCAATTGGACCAAGGAAGTTAGATAATGATTTGCCACCCACTAGTAGGACTACACTTTTGGAAACCTCAGTAATACTTTTTTACTCTGAAATTTCCCTCTTCTCCTCTGATTTTCATTTTGTTTTGGTTTCCAGGACACCATTGATGTGCGCCATGCACCAGGATGAATCTTCTGACTTGAGGGAAGTTGCCAGGATCATGGAGGAAACTCTAGAGGTAACACAAGAAGTGCTCCCACCCCCTTCTCTCAGGATAGATTGGTACTATCAGGCACTTCTATCAAAATTGTATTTTTTTACATTTAGATTACAATAAACTAGCCAATGAGCTCTTTGATTAAAGATTCTTACTGGCGCACTTACTGCAGGTGTCAAATATCCCTCTTAGGGTGAGGAGATTGGTGGTGAGAGTGTGTGATGCAGTGACACGCAGAGCTGCTCGACTTGCTGCAGCTGGCATTGTCGGGATACTGAAGAAGATTGGAAGAGATGGAAAAGGAGGCTCTTCTTCTAATAGTAGTGAGGGTGTGAGGAGAACAGTGGTGGCAATTGAAGGGGGTCTATATGAGAACTATTCATTGTTTAGGGAGTACATGCGCGATGCCTTGGAAGAGATCTTGGGTGAGGAGATGTCGCAAAATGTTGTTCTCCGTCTTTCACAAGATGGGTCGGGATTGGGCGCTGCCCTTCTCGCTGCTGCCGTCTCTTCCTCTTCCTCCTTATCTTCTCTAGTTTGATCATTAGTGGCCATTATAATCACTTGATGTAAATGCAATAGTATCATATATATTATAAATATATATTTATTATTGTTATTCTATATATTATATCTACATATATATAGATAATATAAAGCCTGGGCTTGCTGCTGGTGTTCTCCCAATGTTGTAAAAAAACTGTAATTCTGAATGAATCAAAGTAGGTGTTATTGATTCCTGTTTCCTAGAAGAGACGAAGGGTAAAATGTGCCCTCCTTCCACTCTTTATCATTCTTGAAGGGGAAGGTTCCTTCTTTCCCCTCTTATTGTTCTTGAAAGGGAAGGTTCTATTCCCAATTAGAATACAGGTGGCTGTAGTCTATTTCATGGAAAGAGAGGTGCCGTGTGTTTCAGCCATGTCTTTGGAAGATTAAGGGGCGTTGTTTTGTATCAGTTGGAAAATAACACAACAAAGGAATAATGAGGCGCTGTGAGGGCCAAAGTGGGAAAAGGAGAGGAGATGAACCCGTAAAAAATTTCAGGTATTGATAGCACTTTTTTTGGACTGTAGATCGCAGAGAGAAATGGTTTTATAAGAATGATTGAGAATGATTTTTGTTTGTCTTGACAGAACTATGACATTCAATTTATAAAGGGATGAGAAGAACCGGTTGTCAACATTCGGCTTTCTTTATTGGAATCTTTAAGAAGTGGTTCTTAATGTTTAGGAGATACAAGAGTTATTCACTACACATTTTTAAGAAAAAATATTAATTAGATAAAAAAAAAAATATGGTATATGTATGGTCACCCACATCTGTCAATCTCTCATTTGGTCATAAGGTACGTTGGGTATATAATTGTTGTGTTTCACCTACATGCTAGTACGTGTGGGTGGCTTTGGGTCTCAAATGTACCATATATGTCTCTTTTATCTAATTAATGTACTTTTTAAAAATATTATGTATAAATTAATATTTATGTATAAATGGTTTTTTTTAGAGAACCTTTTTCCAATGGATATGGATGACTCCCTCATTTTCAAGGTATTAAGGGCTGTTTTTTAGAAAGCTTTTTTCCATCTTTAAATTAGGATTTCATGGTTATGGAGAGGTACAGAGAAACAAAAGTTATTTTTAATCGTTCTAGAAAAACCCTGGCTCTTTGTGATTTACAGGCCAATTGCGTTGCTATTAATGCTTTGGGTTTTTGGGAGGTTCATCTCCTCATTTTCCCAATATTGATATCAAAGCAGGGTTGTTGTAACAATCTTGATGCTGCCGTAATTTTTCTCATTCACTATTATGTGCTCTTGGCATTCTTATGTGCCTGAGCCGTGAGTTCTTTCCTTGATCGCATTTCTTTGTTTATCTATTGTCATCTTTTTAGAAGGATAACTGCATACTTGAATTTTCCTGTTTCCTTTTTTTGTTCCATCTCATTCTCTATATGCCATCTTGCACTTAGAAAACCGCATCTTGCTATTCATATTAGAGAACCGCATCCTGCTAGTCATAAGTTTAAATCACTATTGACATTATTGTGCTGAATTTCACTGCATTCAAGTGAATTTAATTGTTTTGCCTTTTGACCTTTGGTCAATATCAGCATCCAATATCAAGGGCATCCAGGAACTTTCTCTAATATATTACATCCATATTTTTGATTGCGAGAAAGCGTCCTCAGAAAAAGCGAATGAGAGAGATAAAATGGCCTTATTTTGTACTCTCTAGACTTCCTGTACATCGCAAAGGCTCACCCATAAGTGAATGTTATCTTCTATTTTTTCTCTCTTGCGTGGCTATAGTCATTTGTTCTCCTAAAAAAAAAAACTCATTTTTTGCTACTACAAATTATTCTGATTTTAGGAAAAGGTTTATATAAGGTTGCAATCTTAAAATGTAGAAATAAAGATGCACTTCAAAAATCATCAGAGAATGTTGTTTTAATGTTGGAAAACCCTCTAATTAATCATCTCGACATCAAGATGTATGAATCTAAACAAACAAAAGATTTTGAGTCCCACAAATAGTGCATCTTGCAGCACACTGTCTAGACCATCCGTTTTCAATATTTTCATATGCTTATAGATCTACTTGATTTAACCCATTTTTGGAGTTTAAAATTTTATAATTAGATATGAAAATAGATTTTTTTATAATCTTAAGAATTTTTTACACCAAAATTACATGTTACGATAAAATTTGGGGGTGCACCTTAATTGAATTGTTTAAGGTTGCAACCTTCTAGAAACCATACCCTTTATTTATTTATTTAATTTGATTTTGTATGCATAGTTTATAATTTAGAGATTTGTTTTTTGGACATTCTATTTGCATCATAATTGTTATTGCTTTGCATAATTTTCTTATACTTTGATCTGTTTAAGTGGGTAAAATTCATGATCTTGATTTCGTTTATTTTGTTCCATATTTTCATGAGAATAGCAAATGGTAACTATTTTAAACATTAACAATAGACTCTTTCGTATTGATATATTTTTTGACGTCAGTCTTGTGTCCTCTTGTTTTTTGAGTCCTCTCGCTTCTTCTCTCTAGAATGTTAAGCTTTATAGAACAAAGACTTGCATAAAGTAGTTTGCTCCTTATTTTTAACCAGGTTCTTGCATCACATAGAATACACGTAAACTGTTCGAGAGAAGCCTTCATTGAGGTTGCAGACCATAAAGAGTTGGCAATCTATTGGTTTAACTAGCAGACAATCCATTATAAGACACAACTTGTATATTTTTTTTTAAGCTCAATTTGCTTACGTCTCTATACCTTTTAATTTTAGACAAATTTGAAAGATCAAATGGTATGACAGAGCTATCAAAACTTGAAAAACTTAACGGAACTAATTTTTCTATATGGAAAGGAAAAATTGGATATATTCTTTTTCAAAATAGGGTAGATTATGTTTTAAATACAAAACCATCAAGTTTAAAACCTAATGTCAATGATCAAGCCACAAGGCGATTTGACAAATGGTTACTAGGACTGCTATTGTGAGTTTTACGGAGGATGACTAAACTAGAGTTTTTGATGACCACACCACAGCTCGAAGTGTCTCATATCTAAAAGGTATGAAACCATTTTTGAGACCCATGTGCAATTATTGTTAGAATAGTATAGCTCTTGCAAAATGAAGGAAACCAATTCAGTGACCGAGTATGTCAACAAAATGATAATGCTCGCAAAGGACCTTGCTGTGGCCGGAAATCTAGTCACTGACCACATGCAAGTGTCCATTGTCCTTAATGGTCACCCTCCATCTTGAGAACTTGTTATAATTACATTGAACCATTCTGCACAAGGGATAACTATGTAATCTTCCCATGCACCTTAGTATTGAAGCTGATAAAAGAATGATGAAGAAGAAGGCTTCTAAGTTAATTTACTAGAAATACATGGCTCGCATGTTTTAAACACAATTTCTTGCAAGTTTAGGAGTAAGGCTCTTTTGACCATTTTGTTGCTTTTATCTTTATGTATATGTCCTAATCTTAAATGTCATATATATGAATCATCCACATAGGCATAAACATCAAATGAAGCATCAATATAACCAGAATAAGATGAATTTCCATAAATGTTCAATCGGTACAAATTGTCAATTTTAGTATTATACAATAATGCTCGAGATTGTTTACTAATTGTGACCCGATCAGACCTAAACTTTATTTCATCACTTTTTCGTTTAGCCTAAGAACAGTAATAAAATTGTATCACATGTTAGGTACACACAAAGTATCAATAGGTAGGAGATTCGTTCATCTAGGTAGACACAAATTAAAAGTACAGACATCAAGTACATTGCAATAAATGTCATTCCCATAGAAATCCGTTGATTACCGGCTACGATCTCCCTCAACTCTGTGCATCTATCCTTGGTCATCGAAACATGTTGACTGGAGGCTCAGTCGACCCACCACTCTTTCAGGTCATAGTCGGCAACTAATGATTCTAGGACTACGCAAATTAAATCATTTTCTTTATTTTAATTATTATTATTTCTAGCATTGTTGTTATTTTTGCTCCTACTTTTTATTTTTCAGCTTAGGACAATAAAACTTGATGTTCTCAGTTTACCTCCAATAAAAATGTCCTATCAGCCTATTCTTTTAATTTTTAAAATTAATCTCATTTCTCTTACTCCTAAAAGAAAAAGGTATAGTGATCTAACTAGTATTGTTCACTATGATATATGAGGCACATTAAATGTAAAAACAGATGCATTACAAACATTTAAAGAAAATAAAGCTGAGGTAGAAAACCAGCTAGGTAGACATCTTAAAATTCGTAGAACATATAAGGGAGGTGAGTATGGCTCCAACTTATTTATTGAATTTATTGTGGATCATTGTATAATTCACCAAACCAACATGACACATACAGCACAATAAAATAGAATAGTTGAAAGACAAAATAGAACTCTAATGGGCATGGTTAGGGCAATGATGAGCCATTCAGATTTATCACCTCATTTTCTGGAGAGGCTCTCAACACGATAATGTAAATTATTAATTGTGTTCTAACTAAATTCATAGACTTCCTCTATGAATTATGTATTGGTAAAAAATATGACCTTACTATCTTGAAAGTTTAGAGTTTTTGGGCACATGTGTTTGTACCACAGCACAATAGAAGTAAACTACAAAGTAAAACAATCAAATGCTGCTTTATAAGTTATTCAAAATTTTGTAAGGGTTATAGATTCTATAACCATGATTCTAAATTCTTAATAGAGAACCGTGATGCTTATTTTTTAGAAAATATAGATGATGAACATACTTTAAATAAGCCCATTAACTTACACAAAGTTGATAAAAATAAGGGTCTCAAAGACCCTATTGCTCAGTCTCCCTCTACAATTGGTGAGAATAATTCATTTGAACCTAGTATATCAGATAGACCTAAAAGAACTAGAACCTCACCTACCAATTTAAAAGAATTTTATGTGTTTATGAATGCAGACAATTGTTATCAAATGAGTGAAGATACAATCGATGAACTTCAAAACTACAATGGCAATAATAACTCACATGACTCAGCTGAGTGGACTCAAGCCATGAATGATAAAATTGATTATATTATAAGGAATCGAGTTTGAGAATTGTTTGAACTTCCTAAAGATAGAAAAGTCATTCGTTGTAAATGGGTCATAAAGAAAAAACTTAATACAAGTGGATCTATAGACAAATATAAAGCTAGGTTGGTAGCTAAATGATTACCCAAAAGAAGGGTATAATGTAGACTTATTCTTAAGTAGTCAAATTTTCATCTATTAGGATCATCCTAGCATTAGTCGTATATTATGATCTATAATTATTTCAAATGATTGTTAAAACAACTTTCTTAAATGAGAAATTAAAAGAAAATATATACATAAAATAATCAAAAGAATATATAATTAAAGACCAAGAAGATAAAGTACACAAACTTAAGCTATTTTTATATAGTCTAAAACATTCCTCTAGGCAATGGTACTTCATTTTTCACAACACAATCACTAAAATTGGTTATGTAGCCAATTGATTAGACCACTGTGTATATGTATGGAATGGCGAGAGCAATTTTGTTACCTTATCGTCATATATAGATGATATTTTGCTAGCAAGTAATGAAATGATATGATTAACTATACCAAATCATGGCTAAGTTCCCACTTTGAGATGA